ACGATACATCCTAGATATCCTTGCGGGCGGTAATAGTGTCATAACAGAAAGAAGGCGCTATAGCAATGATTCAGCAAGCAATATTGTTCGCACATCTCTTTTGTGCGCGTCATCGGCAAAATCAGGACACTAGCGAGTCGGTCCTATGTTGTTGTATACATCATACAATTCTATCTTTGTCATGTGTGTGTGTGTGTGTACCTCCGACCTATATAAATTCACGTAGCACGAAAAGCTGAAAAATTCCATGCGAGCGAATCACCCTTTGCGAGGTAAAACTTCGCGAAATATCGAACACGACAATTTCCCATATTCGCTGGGACAAATTAAATTTATTTTTACTTCCAGAAAGCATTCCAATCAAATAGAGGTTTCCTTTTGATCTTTTAACGGTTGAACACACATGACCGCGACACGATGGTCGCAGTGAGCTAAATTTAACCTCGCATTTAAATAATTTGGCACGAGAGAGTCGGGAAAAGGAAATTCCAAACCGGTGTTTTACCGGCGCGTCTATCGCAAGTCCGACCTTGCTGTTTATAAAAATCCGAGCGACACGTTTTGCGGCGGCCGCTTATGCAGAATTTTTCTGCATTCCCAGCGTGTTTTTGAAATGTCAGCTGCATACGTGTTATCGCAATGTCGCGCGCGTGAACCAGCTCCGGAATATTATGTTTTCCGAAGGCCATTACGCCCGTCTTGTTTGGCGAGCACGAATATTTCATAATAACATCCTCGCCAACGACTAATTGTCGGATCCACATATCGATGGCTCGTCAACGCGTCGAATAATACTATCGTGTAAACGCTATTCGACGACTTAATTATCTGCACTTATCGCGACGCGAAATGGAAATAACAAGCGAGAGCTTCGTGCGAAAAATCACAGCAACGCGTACGCATGTATCCACACCCCTCCCGGGCTTATTATATGTGCGGAAAAACGGGCTCCTCATTTTAATTACCAATCCCTCAGCACGCTTTTCCACGACACATTCTATCTCTCATAACGCGTCGGTCAAAATCCCGGCTTCTCGCGACGCGAGGAAGGACTACGTAATCGGCTAATCGTTCGCGCTCGTAGCGCCTTCGAGATCGCGCTCGAGTTCGTCGCGATCCGGCTTCTGGTAGAGCAACATTCCACGATTCCAGAGCGCGAGCGTGTCCGTTCCTATCGGGTTCAGCGAGAAAGAAAAGGTTCCCACCGTGGAAAGACCGTTTCTCGTTTCAGCGAGCGCTGTGGAAAGCGACGCGGCTCTCGCTCAGCTGTCCGAAATTTAAACACCGCCGGAGCCTTGATCCGACCTTCTCCTCGATCTCCCGTGGAACTGGTCGATCATCCTCGGCTGGCCCGGCGGCATTCCTCGGGTCCCCGCCTCCTCGCTCATCTTCGTCACCTTCGCGATCTTCCTACCTTCTTCTCCCGTGGCTCACCCACGGCTTGCAGCCGAGCGCGCACCGCCTCAGCACGCCCGAAATGATCGGGCGCGTCGATTAACTTGTAAAAAGCTCAGCTCGAAATCTTGCGGAAACGCCGCAAATTGAAAGGAAAGCGCGCGATACACCACCCCCGCGTGCGTCTAAGGTACACGCGATCCTTCGCGTTACGGAGGGCCGCTCCATAATAATATATCATGCCGCGGGAGCATTTGCATTAAAACGTATGCAAATTACTACCCGGAGAGCCCCGCTAAACCGCCTAGCCCGCCGCTATCTCTCGCGCGGCGCGCGCGTATAATTCCCCGCGCGAGTTTCTCCGCGTGAATATTCCGCTAAATTAAAATAATGCGGTGCGCGCGGATGATTTTCACGAGAGCGACGATTTATTATGTAGTCTGGTAATTTAATTTATCGACGCCGCGCGAATTTGTTACCCGTACCAGCCAGGGGGATTGTTGATTCGATGCTAATTCGAACGCAAAGTTGACGCGCTAACTCCATTCTTGCTCCCGACTCTCGCCGCGAGTGCCGACTATATTTCTAGTTCGAAGTAGACGCACTCGGTAGACCTCGTCTGCCGCCTGTCTCTTCAACTTAATCGCCGAGCTCACGGGTATGTTACGAGTAAATTAAATAATCGTTATATATGTAATCAACTGTCGAGTACGGTTGATATCTGTCGTGTGACCCTCCAATTTGGAGCAACAATCAAATCTCGATAATCGAATCAATGTCAACGGTCAACGTTCGTTTGTGGACTTCGCCTGAAGTTCTCACCGAACGGAGAGTCGCACGTAGGGACGGATTGAAGAATCGAGGAACGGGGTTCGGCGGGCTTTTTTTTTTCTTCCTGCTCTCCTCTTTACAAAGGAGCACCACCTCGTAATACGTACGGACGACTACGGATCTCGTGTCCCCCCTAGATTTCATTCTCATGGACTTTCTCCGAAGACTTCGGCTCGGCAAGGACGTTTCTTGGCACACGGCCCGCGAGTACTCCCATATTCATGAACGGCCATTGTCTCCTTACTTAAACGCGGCTACCCGCTTCCTTTTCAATTCGCTTACTTGCGCTCCGATACACGGCATTGTTTGTGCGTTCTCCAGTGTGAAGACACAGCTCAACGCACACTTATGAACATTTTACGCCTACCCGGCGATGAGAGTTTTCAGGCTGCATCCTGAGTTCGTTCGCGATAAACTCGCGTTTCACATACATACATTTACCCCCCATTCGTCTCTCTCGGCTCCGATTTTAAATGCGAGAGAGAGAGAGAGAGAGAGAGAGAGAGAGAGAGAGACGTTCTTCTCCACGGGACGGTGCTATTTTCGTTCGTAATTCGCGCTGTTGACGTGCATAATGAGCGATGTCGCGGTCGTAAAATTTCATCGAAGGCAATCCCGCCAACCGTCGATGAGCGCGGAGTCGGAGAATGCCGGGCTGGATGCACCGTATTTGCATGCGAACGAGCCGTGCAACTAGTCTCGGCGAGCCACCGCACCTAATTGTTAGTCTGCTTGACCCGATCGCGAAACGCCGCACGCGCGGCACCGCACAGGACGCGATTTTCATTCCCGGCTCGCTACGTGCCGCGTTGCAATATAGAATCATGCTCGCGCTTTGTCTGCGCGGCTTAACGCGCGATTTTACCAGAGCGTTCTCTCTTTCTCTCTCTTTCTCTCTCTCTCTCTTTCTCAGAACCGGTTCCCTTCAACGAGACTCGTTCTCCGAGAAGCGGGAAAACCGTCCCGTTTTTGTTTTCAGCCTCGAAATTAGCGGCCCCGAAGTTCTTTTTCAAGCGGGAAAAAGGAGAATACATTCAGGCACGCTCATATTTACCCACAACGTGTCGCATCAGCGCGACGCGACACTTCTAACTCGGAATGGATTTGTGACGGCTTCGCAAATTGGGCCAATCGATGATCCACACCGAGACGTAATCCAATAACTGCCATGCTCGTCCCGGCAAATATTTAACATACGTCCATGTAGCTCGTAACGTTGCGACTCGTAAATCCCCCGATCGATAACCCGGGGACAGCCTTCTTAACGTGTGAGGTAAATTGAAGGGGGCAGCGCCGCGGGTATACAAACCGAAAAGATTATCAATGTTTCAATAGATGTGCGCAAACTTAACACATAAGAGCCTCAGCACGTGAAATTTTACCATTTTGGAGTTTCTCATAAGCAATACATTATGCGCTACACGCATTATATACAAGGGTTGATCCAGAAATAAGGTTCCCATAAATTTTACAAATAGACAACATTGTTTATTCTCATAGAAATTCACAATTGGATACGTTGGAAAGATGAAACTTTGCTCTATTTTTCTACATAATCGCCATCTTTTTCTACGCATTTTTGTAGACGGTGCTCCAATTTCTGTATCCCAATGTCTTGAACTCCGCCGCCAACCCGTTGAGGAAGCGTTTCACCTCTTCTTTGACTTCAAGGGTAAGGGGATACTGCTGATCGATTTCATGGAACGCATTTTTAAGTTGATTGTTGCCCCACGTTCCATGAAATCGATCAGCAGTATCCCCTTACCCTTGAAGTCAAAGAAGAGGTGAAACGCTTCCTCAACGGGTTGGCGGCGGAGTTCAAGACATTGGGATACAGAAATTGGAGCACCGTCTACAAAAATGCGTAGAAAAAGATGGCGATTATGTAGAAAAATAGAACAAAGTTTCATCTTTCCAACGATGTAAATTTCTATGAGAATAAACAATGTTGTCTATTTGTAAAATTGATGGGAACCTTATTTCTGGATCAACTCTCGTACTATATACATCGTGCGCTCTGAGACGCTGTAACTTTATATGTTGATCGTGCCGATCTGTGCACATTATGGTCGATCTATTTCATAGAAATATTGAAATCTTGAAGTATCGCGTAATTAACATTACCTAGAAAACTCGACAGTTTGTAGAACGCGACGGTTATTTAGTATGATATGTAATTACCGTATCAAACTCGAAATTAAATCGGACGTATATTTGAATATGCTCGACCGCGTATTTGCGTTACACTTGCAGAGCGAATTCGTATGTTTTTCCGAATCTCGTAAGTTATCGCTTGAGCAAACAAACGAGCCACGTGAAGAGACCATTTAAGTGGCACACGCCATATGATATTGCGATGGCTGTAATATCACGCATAATTTCCTACTTTCCTAATCAGGCACGCACTCCATTCTTTATCTTCGTTCAATTACGTATTAACCTTCGACCGATTTCCCCGAGGGGACCTCGCGCGCGTCTGCCTCTTATCTCTGCAATATATTCGTGATTAAACGAGCCTTACGTACAATAAGGCGCAGCGCTTTGTCAATAAACTCGAACGATAATTCTGCATAAAGTTCCTCCTCCGAGGAACGTTTCTCCTCGCTATCAATATGACGGCCATTAAACGGCGTAAAAGATGCGTAAAGGAATTCGCAGACCGGCGAAGGACTCTCTTAGCGCGCGTAAAACTCCGGGTCACGCGCAAAATCCTCCTTCCCCTTTTAACGGGACGGCAGCGTCTCTTTGACCGCTCGTGCTCTTTTTATTCCCAGGTGAGAGGTGTTTCTCGACCTAGGCTAAGATGTCACATCACAGCGACGACAATATGCTGATAGCGACGTCGGACTCCTTCTGGGAGCCGGGCAATTACAAGCGCACCACGAAGAGGATCGAGGACGGGCACAAGCTCTGCGACAGTCTGATAGCGCTGGTCCAAGAGAGGGCGGAGATCGAGAAGAGCTATGCCAAGGCGTTGAAGAATTGGTCGAAGAATTGGAACGACAAGATCGAGAAAGGACCCGAGTATGGCACCACCGAGGCCGCGTGGAAGGGCGTTCTCGTGGAATCCGACAGACTTTGCGATCTTCACCTCAGGGTCAAAGAGAATCTCTGCAACGACATTATCCAGCAGGTGAAGACGTGGCAGAAAGATACGTATCATAAGGTAAGAACGACCTTACGTGCTTGCGCTTTCCCTTCGCCCTCGACGTCGCGTGCGTTTCTATATCTCTGTCTCGCCCGTGGAGAGCTACACGGCAAAATCTACTTTCCGTCTTAAAAACCCATAGGTGAATTTCAACGATAACGTTTCTGTGTTACTTGCATTATATATGTATGTAAGCATCACGTAGATAATACGTAAATTATCCATGTATGAACGTAATTTGAAAATCTACGGCTTATATCCTCAGAAAAGGCGCGGCTGCGAGTTGGCTCTGATCGATCTCCTCCTTTTTCTCAATTTTTCTCGATTTTACGATCATCGAGCCTCTTTTTTGCATTCTCTCCTCGTTGTGATCGTTCCCATCTGTCTTGTGGACGCGGTGTTGGCGTCCGAGATTCGCTGTTCCTCTCAATTTTCCGGTAACGATATTTCTCTCGTTCTGTAATAGCAGCTAACATTGAGCGAGTTTGGTTTGCAGTCGATGATGACCCTGAAGGAACGCAAGGAAATGGAGGACGCGTTCAAGAAGGCTCAGAAGCCGTGGGCGAAACTCCTGCAGAAGGTCGAGAAAGCCAAGTCGGAGTATCACAACAGCTGTAAAACTGAACGGACAGCGGCGAACATGGAGAGGAACGCTTCGGCAGACAGTTCGCTCTCGCCCGACCAGGTGAGCCGTTCGTGATCGATTCTATACTCGTCGTATCGCGCGCGCACATTATATCACTTGTCACTCGTAACGTGTTATTAACAACCAGGCGCAACGTTCACGTACCACCGTAGCGGAATCACCTCGTCATCACGTTCGCTTTTAAAAGCTCCGACCGCGCTCTCATTAACTCGCATTACAGATCTAATCTGCGAAACGCCGCGCGAGTTTGTCCAACTAATTAATACACTCGCAGACGCGCATCCCCGTAACGTTTCCGCGGCGGCAAAAGTCAAGCCGGCGTGTAAGATTCAGATTTTCGATCTCGATATCCTACACGCGATATTTTCATATTTCTGTATATATCCGTTATTATATACAACCGCGGAATTATTTCGCAACGCGACGCAGACAGCGGTAGATACGCGTTTTTAATATCGACGAGTCTAATATTGTTCCGCAAATATTCCACGGCCGAGCGAGAGGCTCGAACGCGGCGATGCACACACACACACACACACTGTGTGCATCTATTGTTTCGATCCGCAGCGATGCGCGTATTCGACGTTATTATAAAATTCACCGATCGGGCCGAACAGCCGGGTCTCGCGCGAGCGAGTTCTGAAAAGATACGTTGATACGCGCAAACAACAAAGCGGCGTCTTGTTTCTCGCGTTCCAAGTACCACCGCGGGCTTTTCGAAGCGATACTAGACCGTCGACTGATATACGGACGTGCACAACGACAACAACGTATTAACATCATCGTACGGATACACGTATATATATATTACCGTGAGTCTTGCATCTCGATCACGCACATGCGCCGCCTCTATCTCATACAGTAGATACAGTTGTTCTTTAGCAAGTATTATTTACAGATGGCCCGAGGCTCGGAAAACGTACGTTACACCTTGTGTACTCCTAAGAATTACTCGCATGCTCCTCTACTCTCGTCTATCCATCCTCGCATCTGCGTGAACGTTTTCGTGATAGTCTAACGACGCGACTCAATCGCTTCTGTACACTCCCTGGCTATATTATTAGACGCACTTTGATTTTTTTTTCTTTTTTTTTTTAATAGAACACAGTTCAGGAGGAGAAGAAAAGCTACTAATTTTATGTTCACTCGATTAGAATAATTTTTGGCGCGAATCAGCGAATTTTACCTCTGCAACCTTCCGAACTGTCAAATCACTTGTTTTACCCGTAATTTTTGCAAATACTAATATTGTTTACAAAAATTTATTTTTTTGTTAGTGAGCGAGGAATTTGAAGCTCACAAATAAACCAAAAGAAAATTAAATTTCAATTGACACACACACACACACACACACACACACACACACACACACACACACA